TTTTCATGTTGTATTCTTTTAGTCAAGTAAACAATCTTTGAAGAGTTCAAAAAGAAGAAGAGCTGCAATTGCTAATGCAATTCGAGAGACGAGTAAGAGAATAAGAAGCTCTAGTGAACCAGGAGATAGTGTAACTAGTCCAACTAATGACGAACAAACCACGTTGCAGAAAACTACAAATGCTCCGAAGAAGAAAAGAGGTCCAACACAAGTGAAGATGATTCCGGAACATAATTATCAGAAGATGGATCTCGAATTCAATGAATACGGCCAAGTGGTTGGCCTGAACTCTGATAAATTTGCGAGCATGGTTGGGGCCCTAGTTCGAGAACATGTGCCTGTTGTAATTAAAGATTGGCATTCAGTGGATGGAAAGATGAAAATGGAGCTTTGGGCTTTCATACAGGTACTATTCAGATCAATTCTGTTCTTAGTTGAATGATATTTTCCTTTGAAATGAGGCTAACACAGTTTTCCTTAAATTTATGTTTATACACAAATACAGCAAATGTTCAAAGTCAGTGATTGTCATCAAAGATTGACCTTTCAATATATGGGAAAGTATTGGAGGACATTCAAATCTAGACTGAGGAAAGAAATTTAAGCTCAAGTTGAATCATCTGTGAATAGAAAACACACTATTACCCTTCTTAGACCAAAGAATGTAAATTCTGAAGAAGTTTGGGTAAAATTTGTCAATGATACTCTTTCTGTTGATTTTCATGTAAGTATAGTTTGCATATGAAGCTTACATTTTTAGTTGTATTGGTGTTTTATATTTTTTTTCTTTTTTAATAGGAAAAAAGTTTCAGGTTCAGCAACATGAGAACTAATCAGAAGCTTCTCCATACTATGGGTCGAAAGGGTTATTCACACGTGGCTCATGAAATGGTACATCTGAGAAACATATCTTGTCTTACATGAAATTGTTCAATTCCAATATATGTATTAACAAAATTTGTATTGTAGAGAAAAAAAAAATCCAGATGTAAAAGAGTTACGAACAAGAATATGGACTTTTGAACATCTTAGAAAAGATGGAAAATCAATAAATGAATATGTTGCCGATACTTTGGTATGTGTAGCATTTTCAATGTTTGACCATTGCTTTTGATTTATTAGTTGTATAAAATTTGAATTCCATAAGTACAGAAAAGGATTGAAGATTGTTCTGTATCAATTTCTAATACACCCATCGAAGATTCCATTCGCGATGATGCCGTCGCTCGAATTTTAGGTCCCGAACGTCATAGGAGAGTTAGGGGACTCGGATTTGGAGTAGTACCATCAAAGGTGGATGGACAAATACAAAGTAGTGGGAGAGTTAGAGAACTTGAAAGTCAATTACAGACTCAATCACAAAGGATGGGGGCACTAGAAGAAAAAGTGGAAGCACTTCTGAAGTTATCTCAACAGGTTATAAGTAGTTACCCTTTATATATAATATAATAATATATCCTAGATATCAATTACATGTAGAATAACTTTTGATAATTCTGTATCAATTTACAGAATGTAGAGGACAGGAATTCAAATGCTATTACTCCTCAGGTTTTTGTGTCATACATTATTAAATGTTTATTCCATATATATCCAGTTTGGAGTATTGTAATGTAAAAAATATTATTTTCTGTCTACCATGAATTTGTAGTCACAACTTGGAAGTACTATACCTATGACGAATGCAAAATGTCAACTATTGCATTGGTACATGTTTGAGGAGGAAGAAGTTGTAGCAGAAGGGAGCATTGCAACAACAGACCCAAGTTCAAAGATGCATCACTTGCCACTCGGAAGAGACTGTTGGAAGGTTCGGGTTTTGTAGTCAAAACAAGGAAGTGGTGTCCAAGGAGGTATTGTACATATGGAAAATGCTAGGTGGCAATTGTTGCATTGGTACATTTTTGAGGAGGAAGAAGTTGTAGCAGAAAGGAAGATTGCAACAATAGACCCAAGTGCAAAGGTGCATCACCTGCCACTCGATCGAGACTGTTGGAAGGTTTGGGTTGAAGAAGTGTATATGGGTAATTTGACCTTATACAGATCTACAGATAAATTTCAGACTCTTGGTGAAGCCATGGGAAGTACTATTGCTTAGTCAAAAAGCAGTATTAGACTTATTTGATTAAGGTATATTTTCTGGAAGTCTGGAGATATTGGTTAATAATTTCTATGTTTAATTATGTATTTTGCTTCGTTTGAAAGGTGGCTTTTAAAATATTTGGCAACTTTTAGATCAGGATAATAACGCTTTCTGGGGTTGGCTTATTGAAATTGGCTTGGTAAATTATGTATTATCTTATGTTGTAGTATTTTGACTAGGATTGTGGGAAGACTCACTCCTACAAGTGTTATGTTAATCAAGATGGGAGTTTACAATTAAACATCTTTTTCAACAGTTGTGGGGTTTGAATTCTTGATGAATTGTCCTTTGTAGTGTCATAAGCAATCTTGGGTTCCGCTGTATTTGTATTTGTATTTGTTCATTGTTCTTTGAATTCTATGTGGCATTTAACTAAATTTATGTTTGGTTTGAATATATACAAGTTGTGGGTTTTTTTTTTCATTTTATGTTTTCAAGAATTATGTTTCTTGGTGTGATCTCTTTTGTAATTGAGGAGGGCAAGTTCATCAATTCTTTTAGCAGGCAGGGTATATGCTGGTCTGTTGTTGATGACCTACATCTCCATAGCTACACAGTTATGTGCATTTTTTGTGAGATTCTGGAATCTTCATTACCCTTTTTCTTCCTATTTTTGTGTTTCCTTTTGTTTTATTTATTATGGATAAAGGGACAGTTTCCTATTTTGTAACTCTCTAACATCTCTAAGCCCCTAGGATTTACTAATGAAGTTAAAAGTTCTGGTCTCAAATTGTTTTGGTATATTTGTTAATATATTGGTACTGTATATTTAACTATAATGACAATGATATGCAATCATGGGACTCAATCTATTGACTGTTAAAGAATAATGTTTTCCCTCTCATAGAAGTATCTGTCTTGAGACTGTTTTATAGTCAAAACTATGCATCTCTTTTATGCAGAAAGTTGTAGTTATCTTGTTGAATTGGTAGATTATTTGCTGTAACTATTACTACTTTTTGCTGATGTATAACTATTAGCCATCTAAAGTAATTTTTAATGAAATTTGGAACAGGGTACACCATTGCTAGCAGGACTTGCTACTGCTGCTACCGCTTATGCTGGTAGATATGGCATTCAGGCCTGGCAAGCATTCAAAGCAAGACCACCAACTGCTAGAATGCTTAAATTTTATGAAGGAGGTTTCTAGGCTAAAATGACCAGGAGGGAAGCAGCTCTAATTCTTGGGGTCAGGTACATCTAATTCTTTATTTGAGATGGGAAATGGTATTAAACTGGAAATGTCAATCACACTTAGTTAGTTCCTTCATCCGGTGTCTGGTTTCACAAGAGTGGGGCTTTTGAATGAAATTGAGTTTCTTTATAGAGATTGTTAAGTGATGAGAGGGGGTTTTACACATAAGGTGGGCTTATCAAAGGTTGAAGGTTGTTGGATTCATAAGGTGAGCTTAACATAGGCATAGAATTGAAGGATTTACGTGAGGGTTTCCCAAAGATGTTACTTTTAGAAACAAAGTATCTAGGTTTGATGAACGTATACTGTTGAAAAGTACATGTTGGAATATGATTTCTTGTATTTGTGTTCTTTGGAACTAGATAAGAAAGATGTCTGGCAAGCTATGCCAAATAGTAGCTTGTTGAAGCTTGGTGAACTTCAAATTCATGTTCAAAGCTTGGCTTGTTCATACCATTAGGCACGTGATGATCTAAAACTACATTAATTGAAAAATAATTAGTCAAGACTTCGTTTTTGTGTAAATATTACTTTAAATCTTTAATAACTGAATGAATAGGCTTGAGTCTAAAACAATAAATTGTTAAGCTTAAATTTATTTTTGAGCTTTGTTTGATATTATGCATTAGGTAGTTGCAAACAAGTTTTTGGTTAATCCAATCTTGAGATCTATATCCGTGACAGCCATCTTTTATTTTACAGCCTACTTTGTTTTGAGTAGTGGTGTCTTTCACTTTGTGCAGTTTAATTGCTTAACTCATTGAACACCAAGTAGATAGGGACATGTCCGAATCATGTGGAAGGAAATGATATCTTCATCCTCCATTTGCCAGGTGATGAGGGCTTGATGGGCTTTTCTTTTATCTTTGGGCAAGTCCATACGCATCACTCAGACATGGGCTTACTTTTGTACTCAACGAAATGATGGAAAAGATGTTTTTACTGCTGGGTCACTATTTTAAACTGGAAACATGTATAATGAAATTATTTTGAATATTGCACAATGTATATGAGTTGAATATTGCATTGTGCAATTAGTTTCAATCCAAGAGCATATTTTCTCATTTTAATTTATATTTTTTGATGTCGTGTTACATCTCTGTATTTACTGGATATTTTATTTGTGGTAAAAAGCGCAAAATTACAATTAGGTTGAATGTGTAGAACAAAGTATATGATTTTCGGTAGCGTAATAAGCATTTATATTAAAAATGCGAAATAATTTTAAAAATATAGTAAAACCACGTCGTCGAAAAAACGGTGCAAAAGGGTCAACCGTTGCGCTAAAAAAACGCTGCAAAAGAGTCGACCGCAACGCTGAAAAAATGCTGCAAAAGGGTCAATCGCAACTCTGAAAAAAACGTTGCAAAAGGGTCAACCGCAACGCTTAAAAAACGCAGGAAAAGGGTTGGTCGCAACGCTGAAAAAATGCTGCAAAAGAGTCAACCTCAAAAAACGCTGCAAAAGGGTCAACCGCAACGTTGAAAAAACGCTGCAAAAAGTCTTCCCTCTACGGCAACACCGGCCTTCGCAACACTTGGAAAAGTTTTTGGACCGTTGCAAAAGCCATTTTTTGATGTAGCGATTGCTAGATATTACTGTGAAGAGTACAATATTTCATGGAGGAAGATTTGCAATCCTATTATCCACAATATCGTGTTCTATATAAGCATGAGGCCATATATAAGTACATGAAATGATATGATGCTCACACTATGGAATACAAAAGAATCGACTTCTACATGTCCTAGACAAAAGAAAGAAATGAACCGCGTGTCAAAAATAGTTTAGTTTCGCTTCCCATCTCTTTTGGAAAGTAAATGCTAAAGACACGTTTTGATAACCGTTGTTTTGTACTAACTTGGTGGAAGAGTATTTGTTACAGAAATCGAAATGCTATGATTTTTCATGTGACATTTTGGGAGAAAAGTAGTAAATATAAACATTTCAAAACCTTGTGTAGATGTAGTAGTTATTGTCCTTTATTGATAAATAGAGATGTTATGATTTGTCACTTTGTTATTTTGAAGAAAGTTATGTTGTAATCTTCTCGACCTATCTTCCATTGTATTCATTATAGCTCAAATCTCAACTATAATTTGACGTATATCACTACCCATTAAAAGAATACAGCTAGACATACTCGAAGCATTAGGGATCAATTTGCTTATGAAATACCAATACCCTTTTTTCCTTCTTGTAAAGAATCAATATCCATTAGAAGTAAACTATAATACCCAAGGTTCTATTGTATTATTTCCTTTTCTAATAGAAAAAAAAATTTAAGTAGAATTTCGGGAGCATAGCACACCTTTTTTTGGTATATTATTATTTTGAATATTTGTATATTTTTATCCTATCAATGGTTTCTATCTAAATATTCTATCACATTCTATATGAAAATATGATGGGCAAATAAGTCTTCTTACGCCCTCTGAAAGATAGAAATCGCCATCATGGACAAGATGTGCTAACTAATGAAGATTGTGGATAAGAATACAATGAAAAAAGGTTGGACGGCATAATTGAGACGATGAATAAAGACTGAAAATCTTTAGTGCGATTAAAAAGTAATGGAATAAAAGAAAATTTTAGCAACGATATTACCACCCTTATATGATATACCAATGAATCCACATTAACATTGTTATACACGATATAATGAACTTCCCCAAATCGAGTTTTTTTACCTAACATGTTCGATAGCAGTTTCTGCTAATGCAATCCATGGACTATGCATTTGAAAGCTGTAAAGCGAAACTAATGTACAATGAAGAGCGAAAAGAAAGAAAGAAGATAATATTATTTGGTCTAATTTATGTCTATGGACTGAACATCTTTTCCCTCCACCAATTTTAGTCTGTTAACTAATATGTCCAAGGCTTCATTCATCCATAGCTGCTTGCAAACCTCTCTAGCTTTAGCCACTGCCATCTGCATATATAATTCCATTGAATTCACATCAGTAAACATATATCTTTTTCTTTAGTTCAATAATCCAAACATGGACTACAAAATACTGCGTTTTGTAGGAAAGGCTTTATGTGAAACGTACCCATTCTCTTAATCGCACACTCTTTTCCGGCCATAGATCAAGTTGTTCTGTCACTAGTAAAGGAAACATGAGACCTTCGTGATGGAGTTCCCGGCTATTGCTCTTGAATAGCCATGTACCCAACTGACTCTGCAACACATGTGGAGAACAAAAAATTTATGTCAAATATTTGTATAAACTACACTCCTCAAAGGTTACAGAGTAACACTTAATTTAAGTTTTTGCTTCATATAAATTATTTCATCGAATCGAGTGGGCTTGTCTAATAGAAAATTGACATGAATATTGAGAAAACATAAATAAATTAATAAATGTGGATATATATATCTTTTAAGTTTCATTTAACTGCTTGTTTAATAAAAAAAAAGTTTTAAAATTTATCTTTAAAACCGATAAAACTTCAATTTCAATCATATATTTTACAAATTTTATTAACTTTTCAATCACACATTACATCATTTTTTTATCAAAATCTACTAATTTTTTTTTTATCAAAAGCTTTATCAAACAACCCCTATGTTTTTCTTCTTCAAGCTATCTGACTTAAAGAAATGATTTTACTACTACAAATTAAAGCTTCGCCATTGGAAAAAAATTCGTTGGATCACTGGATTAACAACAAACTAACCCATAAAACTCGATTTTTTATGAACTCGTTTTCAACCAGATTCTTTCAATAAAATAATTTTGAACGTGAATCCATAAATTTTCCCTATTTTTAATCACATATCTTTCCAAAAAAAAAAAAATCATTTTTCACAAAATCCATTCTCAAAAATATATATCAAACTGTGGCTTAATCATTACTTGAACTCGAAGATGAGACCTAAATTCAATTTACCAACCTCAACATTGCCAAGAACACCGGCTTCCTCTAATGACTCGCGACGAGCTGCTTCTTCAATAGATTCATCAAGTTCCCAACCTCCCTGATCACACACATTTTTATCTCAACATCAGCACCATTTTGTTAACAATATGAAGTGAACACTTTCTGAAACTTAAAAAAAAAAAAAATATATATATANAATACCCTAAATGGTCAACATTGACTAGGTCAATTACCTTTGGAAACATCATTTCTTGACTTTTTTTTGAACTGATCACAAGAACCTCTAACTCATCTTTAGTGCCTCCAGTGTTGCCATTCTTATATCTATATGGAATGCACCTGCAAATTTAATGGAGTGTTAGAATATACTTTTCATGAAAAAAAATCTTTTTTATCAATGTATATTGTATACAGTTGAAAGAAAAAGATAAGGAATAAAACAAAACAAAAACATTAATTTTTATTTTTATTTTTTTGCTAGTTTCATTCTTTAACATACAGCAGATTTCACTTAGGAAAAAAAATTATTCATGAAAATGTACTCGTCAGGTGCTGTACTTGGGCTCCGTTTATCTCCCATTATTCCAAAACATTGTTTAGTAAAGTAAGATTCTTCACTCCACATTCACCCAATAAAATATTCTAGACACAAATTTCAATCACACATTCTCCAAAAAATATTATTCATTATTTCATTTCTTCTACAATAATGGTAGACAAACACGTTTAATGTGTTAACTACAATAATACACGAGACGGTACCCACTGAGCCTAGAATATTGAAGGTAACAGAAGAAGAAAAAAAAAACAAAGCTAAAAACTTACCCTACAACAAGTCTTCGACCTCTGTTGTACCTCTGCAAATGCCTCCCTGTGCGAGCAACCGAACACACCATCTTTCTTTCTTTTTAAGTAAAGAAATGCAGAAAACAGAAGGTTATTGAATCTTTCAGAGTAAATGACGCAAATGAAGGGAAGGGTATACGTTATATATATAGACATGGTAAGCGCCAAATATGAATGGATAAGAAACGCAGGCAAAAGTGAATTGTTCTTGAGCAAAAAATGGTGGGCGTTGTGTGTACAATTCTCTCTCTATGTCTTGTGTGGTACGTTTCCATGATGTTTCTCAATACGTTTTTTCAACTAACTCATTACTTCTCTAGTTATTGTTGCTTACGTGATATGAAAAGGATATTCAGATTTTATGGAAAAGGTATGCCATTAAGCCCTTGTTTGACAATTTATTTTTTTCATATCAACTACACATTTACACAATAAAATATTTTGCACGTAAATTCAAAATTTTTTCATACTTTTTAACCACCCATTCTCCTAAAAATACTATTCAAGCAAGGGCCGGTAATTCATCATAATGGGAAGTGTGTAGGGTCAGATCTACAATTTCAAGATAAAATATAACTTTTTAAATTCATTCTACCTATAAAAGTCACTACAAAAAAAGGTTATTTTGCAATGTATAAAAGGCAACATTAATGAATTAATGATTGTTAAAAGGGGTCTATCGCAAAAGTCAGTAAGTGTACATTGTCATTGATTAATAAATTGATATTTCGTAATAATATTTTAATGAATGTTGCTATTGTTTCATTTACCAATAGGCATTGTCCGTTGTCTTATCTTACTATTCTACGACAATATCGAAGCCTGCAACTTGCACATGAATGTTGTGCAATATTTTTTGCGTGTTGCGAAAGACAAATTTTTTTGTGAGTTTAGATAAGACGGTCCAATAAATTGATAGGCTAATATTAAGCGCTTAATTTTCAATGTCACTCATTTTCTTTTTTTGAAAAGTTTTATGTAATGAATAGTATTTACACGTCAAGAGAGATGTTGAAGTAAAAATCTCGTCTAGGTTTTGATGGTGTTTCGACTAAAAAAATGTAGTCAATAAAAAGTAGAGAGATTTACATGCATATGCAAAGGGCATCTAGTACTCGAGAAACTATATCAATATAGTGGATTTAACACAATTTTAATAAATCTTTAAGCTATTTAAAACTTTTTATGTCATTTATTTTCCTTAGGATTCCCTGTCTGAATATTAAAAAAATAAAAACATGTACATCCCCATGTGAAAGATTTTGATAGATAATATAAGTTGCAGCATTTTCCATGAAAATCATGTGCTATAAATCTAACATCCCATGTTGTGTTCAACCTTGTGATCTCTGCTGAGTTGAACTTTTAGGACTCGTGTTTCAGGAAACAAAAACAAAAGATGCCACCATCTTTGGTTCATATTATGACAATATAGTGTGATCTTTGACTCCAACAGCAACATCCAGTCTACTCGAACCACACATAGATGCATCGAACGAGCCAGGTTGGTCGGCCGCCTAGGGAATTGGCAAGGCATTCGCGAACCTTGTCCTTATGAGAAATTAAAAAACAAATTATTGTGGGCATTATTTGTCTCGTCGGGCCATGATTAAGAACTCAATTATAATGGAAATAGTTTGATTTGCACAATTCAAAAGTCAACTTTTGTGAAATTTCCTTGATAATTTTCGAATTCTTTCAATTTCGAAATATTTTGTATGCAAGCATCTATTTATTTTATCTTCGCCTTCACATGAATAATGGTTATTGGTGCTTTATTAAGTTAAGCACGTTGGATGTCCAAAATTCATTTCCCACAATCTCGAAAAGTTCACTTAAATCAGATGAGACTTTTTCGGATCCAAAATAGGGTGTTTGGACACACGGCATGATCACCTTACTCCCTAATATTGCCAAGAGGGCTCGGGACAAGAGATTTTTACGAATTTTAACTTCTTTTTTTTTTTTTTTGTAAATATTATCCATTAAATAATCGGGTTAATTTCACAAATGGTCACTGAAGTTACCTGAAATTTTCAAAACGGTCACTAAAGTTTCAAAGTTTCAGAAACGGTCACTGAAGTTTGAAATTTCTTTCAAAACGGTCACTGAATTTTCAGATTTTTTGGTCAAGTTTGAAGCAATTTTTCGACAACTTCCGACCACCAAAACCGCCGATTTCGGATACCATAGGAAAGCTCACGATATTCTCTTCAATTACCACCAAAAATCTCCCCAAAACTCCAAGTGATTCGGCCGGAATAAACCCAAGAAGTCAGCTACCCAAATTGGGCAGATTTTCGGACTTTTTTGGTAGCTAATTTCATGGGTTTATTCCGGCCGAATCCCTTCGAATTTTGGGAAGATTTTTGGTGATAATTAAAGAGGACATTGTAGACTTTCCAACGGTATCTGAAATTGACGATTTTGGTGGTCGGAAGTTGCAAAAAATTGCCTCAAACTTGCCCGAAAAATCTGAAAATCTGAACAGATTTTCACAATTTTTGGTTTCCGACTTCGTGGCTTTATTCAAGCCGATTCTAAAGAAATTTCAAATTTCAGTGACCGTTTCTGAAACTTTGAAACTTCAATGACCGCTTTGAAATTTTCAGGTAACTTCAGTGACCATTTGTGAAATTAACCCTTAAATAATCATAGAACTTTAAAAATAAAAGTAGTTTTCAAAATAGAATATTATGGCATAATTTCGTCTTGAATTTTCTTTTTCCTTTTTTGTTAATTTCAAAACTAACGTAGATAATATATCGCTTTCATGACTAGTAGCTTCTTAATAAAACACCACAAGTAAAAAAAATAAAACACCACATGTTTTATTGGACCTCATGAACTATAATCAACCCATTGAATCCCATGAAAACCAAAAATCTAAACTTAATGATTTGTTAGAAAACTTCAAAAAGAGGTATCCAATATTATAATATCTCCAAAGTTTTGAAATGGTCGAATTCACGTGCAGCGGAAAATCTCTAGTTGCCAGTTTTGTCCATTTCTTGTAGGATTCTCCAACGCCATAATATAAAAAGACTTTGGTCGAAGACTCTTCTATGCTAAAGTTGTTGAAACTCTCTACATACACATTCACCGCCCAATATTACCATATTTATAATTTTTTTATTATTTTGATAATCGTGAATATTCGAGCCAACTTGCGCGCGCACCTCGATTAATCTCACGGGATCCCAAAGTTTACGACAGAATACTCACCTCAGTGATCCTGAATGGACTCAAGTTGGTGACCATTGGAGAGCAAACTCAAGACCTAACCAATTGAACAATCATTCAATATGGTCGATTCGTGTGAAACTCAAACGGGAATTTGGATTTCAAGATCAATGTTGTCGTTACGAGCCATCGTATTTCAAGACCATGTTGGAACATAAAACCCTATGCCAATTAACTATGGAAACATAACTAACATATAAGTGCTTCCATAAGTGCTCCGAACAAATTTGACCTTTTAAAATTAAATTTCTAAGACCCAATAACTTCAAATGATGTTCAGTGCAGCCAACTAATCATGCCATAAAAATTGGATTAACCTGTTTGTACATGGATCCTGTACAAAAAGATTTACAGATGCTACGTTGTACTTTTTTTTCTTTTTTTTTTCATTATTTTGCCCAACTTCCAATAAAATATTATCAAGTGGATCCCTATAAATCAATCTGGTAAAATGCAAGTGGTAAAAAGGGAAGGTGGTCAAACTCCAGCCTTACTTCAGGCTGCCACGTCAAAAGTTTAAATCCTGAAATATGAATTTGGCCATTGGGTAAGTACAAATGTACAAGCAGTCTTCCACCGTATATTCTTGGAGGCATAATTGCGATTTACCTCTTTCATCAAAGTCCAGAACAGGACAGGTGGGGACCGTCTGGGATGCGGTTCGTCTTTCATAAACTTTTATTTACTTGTTCCGGTTTTGTTTTATTATATCTTATCCTTGGTACATTGAACGCAGTACTATCAGTAGTGATGAGTATGAACTAATTGCTGAATCAGAAACTCACTGAATTATGTCACACCTGATGCTGCAGTCAATAGCAGAAAGAGACGTGATTGGAATTAGCTATTGGGAGCATCTCAAAATTGAATTTTACACATTCAACCATAATAATACTATTCCTTCCAAGAAGTTAACAAATTGGAGACTATAGAGGCATTATTTTTACTCTGTAAATCAAAAGAAATATGAACATTATTATTGATATTATTTCTTTCTTTCAGTCTTCAGAAAGTGGGATTGGTAGTTCTAGTAAAATATTGTTTGTGTAAAGTGGCCTACTTAGAAAAATAAAGTATCGCGGAGTCTAGTTTAGGAAGGATTAAATTGTAGTGGTTATTTCCGAGGCTCATAGACAAAAAATTTGAATTTAAAAGCATACTAGGTGCTATCTCTTTACAAACTATTTCTAAGAATGTGTTCTACCTAAATGCTTTTACATATTTATTCTAGTGGGAGACATAAATTGACAATGCCAAAGAGGAAATCCACAATTCTTAAATGAACAAGTGGGAAACGACGTGGAAATTAAATTGTCTTTTATGATTTAAGGTACATCTACCGGCTCTTTGTCTCAATAGTCGATACCTTTCCATTTTTGAAATCTTTCTCAATGACTAAATGAGCGAGGATCATTGTCGAAAGAATTTCTTAGTGATAGAATTTGGGTGTGATTCGAATTCCTTGTTGAAATAATTGAAAATTTCTAATTAAAGTACATGTCAAGAAGAATTCAATTTGAAATATTATTGGAGTATTATGTCAATTTGAAGTTCTATTTTGAAGGTCATTGGGAGTTGGAATTTGTTTTGAACTCAATTTTTTATATCATACTTCATCAACAACTCTACTATAAGGGTTTGGACATTTCATACTTGTTCCCTATACATATTAGACTCTTCTATACAATTTTATAATGTGAAAAAATTGATTACTAGCTTTTAGGATTATTGTAATACTTCACCATCTTCATTATTTGTGGTGCAATAAAATCTCATAATTCATCTGCCATATTTTTTTTATCTTATTTTATTATTTTACTTGTGTTCAAATACTTCATTATCATGTCATAATTTGAACATCTCAATCGGTGGTTGGTTTCATAACAAATGGTATCAAAGAGCCAGGTTCAACAGTTCCGCAAGAGCGCAAGGTTTAGTTTGTTTGAGGTTTTTTGTTCGTGATGGCTTCCATGATGTATGAAATTTCATTTTTGGATTGGAACACTAGATTGTTGCTATGACAAGTTAATATGCGTGTACTATTCGCACAACAGGATTTGAATGATACGTTGTTGGGAATTAATAAGATACCCACACCTTTGACTACTGAGCAGAAATTATGGAAGGATAAGAATCCAGTTTCTCACGTTATTCGTCATCTATCGAATACCATTCTTTAGGATGCTTTGAAGGAGGATTCAACAGCTGATTTATGGTTAAAATTTGAGCAATTGGCATGACTAAAAGTTTTACAAGCAAGTTGCATCTCAAACAACATTTATACTCTCATCGAATAGCAGAAATAGGATCATTGGAAAATCACCGACTGTATTTAAAGAGATCGTCGCTAATTTGAAAACTTTGGAAGTAAAGTATGATGAAGAAGATTTGGCATTGATCATATTGTGTTCATTGCCCACTTCATTTTCTTCATTTAGTGACATGATCTTGTATAGTCGTGATACTATCACTATAGAGAAGGTGTATGATGCTTTGTTTTCAAAAGAAAAGATGAAGCATCTGGTTTCAGATGTCAGAGATGGAGAAGGCCTTGTTGCTCATGGTGGTTCTGAAAGGGACATATCGAAGTCTTCAGTAATCAGATTTATAACTTTTGCAAGAAGAAATGGCACTTGAAGAATGATTGCTATAAATTGCAGAATAAAGAAAGGTAGGCTGCAAGTCGATATGGGAAACAATCAGAAATTTCGGGTAAAACAGACCTCGCGGAGAACATTGTAAATGAGGGAAATATTTTAGCTATTTATGACATCGGGGTCTAAACCAGAAGATGATTGGATTCTGGATTCAGCGTGTGTGTTTCATATGTGTCCTAATAAGGACTCATTTGCTACATATGAAATTGTTTCCAAAGGTGTCGTGGTTATAGGAAAAATGCACATTATCGGGTTGTTGGAATTGATATGGTCAGATTGAAACTTTTGGATATGACAATTAGAACACTTGGTCAGGTTCGATATGTTTCGGATTTGAAGAAGAATCTCATCTCGTTGTCTATTATTAATTCAAAGGGTTATGAGTTCTTTGATAGAGGTAGAGGTGGAGCCTTGAAATTTTGCAAAGGTGTCCATGTTGTATTAGATGGACAGAAAATATCTCAATTATACATCTTACAAGCTCGTGCAAAATCTAGAAGAGTCAATCAGCACATGTTCAGTACCGTGGTGGACATTCAATTTGGTACAATACCTTTAGAAACTCGTAAATAGTCGAATTTGAAGAATATGCTCAGTGGAGTTCAGGAGACATGGATAATGTTGCTTTGCCACCATCACCTGCAGTGTCATTGTATTCAATTGTTAGGGACGGATCCAATGGTAAAAGGTATGTGGATGCTGATTTTGTTGAACATGTTTTCAGTGCAATAGAAGATGTACAATCTTGTAAGGAGCCTTCTTTAAAAGTATTTAGGTTTGACTCTGCTTTGGGGTATGTTATAATCCAATTTGGTGAATTTTAAAATCATTATGATTTTTTGAGAATATGAGGTAATTTTACAGAGTAGTACTTAGATTCAATAGAATATGAGGAGTATTTTGTGTTGGTTGGATAAATCAATTTTGGTTATTGTCGAAGAGTCGGTTCATTTCTTGCAGACGGATTTTCTTTTCCAAGTGGAGAATATTTTGGAGGTTTGTTCGTTGTAGTTGAATTCGTGGCAAAGTGGAAATTGTTAGAATTTGAGTGTGACCTGAATTCTTTGTTTGATCGTCGCTAATTTGAAAACTTTGGAAGTAAAGTATGATGAAGAAGATTTGGCATTGATCATATTGTGTTCATTGCCCACTTCGTTTTCTTCATTTAGTGACATAATCTTGTATAGTCGTGATACTATCACTATAGAGAAGGTGTATGATTCTTTGTTTTCAAAAGAAAAGATGAAGCATCTGATTTCAGATGTCAGAGATGGAGAAGGCCTTGTTGCTCATGGTGGTTCTGAAAGGGACATATCGCAGTCTTCAGTAATCAGATTTGTAACTTTTGCAAGAAGAAATGGCACTTGAAGAATGATTGCTACAAATTGAAGAATAAAGAAAGGTTGGCTGCAAGTCGATATGGGAAACAATCAGAAATTTCGGGTAAAACAGACCTCGCAAAGAACATTGTAAATGAGGGAAATATTTTAGCTATTTCTGACATCGGGTCTAAACCAGAAGATGATTAGATTCTGGATTCAGCATGTGTGTTTCATATGTGTCCTAATAAGGACTCATTTGCTACATATAAAATTGTTTCCAAAGGTGTCGTGATTATAGGAAAAATACACATTATCGGGTTGTTGGAATTGATATGATCAAATTGAAACTTTTGGATATGACAATTAGAACACTTGGTCAGGTTCGATATGTTTCGAATTTGAAGAAGAATATCATCTCGTTGTCTATTATTAATTCAAAGGGTTATGAGTTCTTTGATGGAGGTAGAGGTGGAGCTTTGAAAATTTGCAAAGGTGTCCATGTTGTATTAGATGGACAGAAAATGTCTCAATTATACATCTTACAAGCTCGTGCAAAATCTAGAAAAGTCAATCAGCACATGTTCAGTACCGTGGTGGACATTCAATTTGGTACAATACCTTTAGAAACTCGTAAATAGTCGAATTTGAAGAATATGCTCAGTGGAGTTCAGGAGATATGGATAATGTTGATTTGCCACCATCACCTGCAGTGTCATTGTATTCAATTGTTAGGGACGGATCCAATAGTAAAAGGTATGTGGATGCTGATTTTGTTGAACATGTTTTCAGTGCAATAGAAGATGTACAATCTAGTAAGGAACCTTCTTTAAAAGTATTTAGGTTTGACTCTGCTTTGGGATATATTATAATCCAATTTGGTGAATTTTAAAATCATTATGATTTTTTGAGAATATGAGGTAATTTTACAGAGTAGTACTTAGATTCAATGGAATATGATGAGTATTTTGTGTTGGTTGTATAAATCAATTTTGGTTATTGTCGAAGAGTCGGTTCATTTTTTGCAAACGGATTTTCTTTTCCAAGTAGAGAATATTTTGAAGGTTTGTTCGTTGTAGTGGAATTCGTGTCAAAGTGGAAATTGTTAGAATTTGAGTGTGACCTGAATTCTTTGTTGAAATAATTGAAAAATTCTAATTGAAGTGAACGTCAAGAAAAATTCAATCTGAAATGTTATTGGAGTCCCATGTCAAGTTCAAATTTTATTTTGGAAATCCATTAAGAGTTGAAATTTGTTTTGGACTCGATTTTTTGGTATCTTACTTCATCAACAACTCTACTATGAGGGTTTGGACATTCCCTACATGTTCCCTATAAATATTAGGCTCTTCTATACACTTTTATAATATGAGAAAATTGATTACTAACTTTTAGGATGATTGTAATACTTCTTCATCTTCATTATTTATAGTATAATAAAATCTCCTAATTTTTCTACCATATTTTCTAGTCTTTTTTTTTTTTTGCTTGTGTTCAAATACTTCATTATTGTTGCATTTAACTTCAACACCTCAATTTAATGGTTGATTTCATAACACTTAGATTTCAATATTGGCCGAGAATCGTATTTTGAGATTATATGATGTCATGGATATTCATATTATAAGTTGAATCGATCGACCTTGTTTCGTATTGACTTTTATGTATATAGTTTTAATCATTTAAGTGAAATTTTGATACGTCCGTGTCATGTAAGTTTTTCAACCGATCATGTAAATAGTTTTATGTATATACTATGTAGTTTCGTTTTTTCTGACCGATATGTTCGTTCTAATTTATACAAGAACAAGAAATACGTTTTAAAGGTCTTTACGACATAAATTGAAATCTTCCAAACGAAATTGTGGCATAAAATTTGGGGGTGTTGTAAGCAAGCATATTGCCTTCTGGTTTCTTGATGTCATATAGTGAAGGAAAAAAAAAATAGTTTGGTTTCCAGAAAAATGAAATTAAAATTCCTTTTTTTTTTTCTTTTTCTTTTTTTCTTTTTTTTGGGTCCATCGGTTGAAGGAACATCTCTAGATGGGGGTGGGGTTTCTTCGATTTCTCCTCAAGTTTTACACTTCGACTGTATTTGGATATAACTTTTTTTAACACATTATTTTGATAGCATTAAATTTGAATATTGAATTTTAACGTCTCAAAGAGTATTTTAATTACGGAAGAAACATGAAGGTGAACTGAAATTTTTTTATTTTTGGTAAACATTTCCAAAAGACAACATAAATGAGAGTATAAAGAAAAATACGGTAATTACAATGTAAGTAATTTTTTGACGTGTTTTCAATTGGGGAAAATTGCGGTCGTGGTCCAAAACCTTTCATTTTGTTGCAGATTACACCTAAACCTTTTATTTTTGCGGCCGAAGTTTCAAACCTTTATATATAGTTCCAGAGTTAGTCCCAAGCCTTTAATTCCGTCTATAAAACCGCCAGTCAACGTTTCAACATTAATTTTGACTCGAAAAAATTGCAGCGCTAGTCCCAAACATTTCATTTTGTTGCAGATTACACCCAAATCTTTAATTTTTGCGGTCGAAATCCCAAACCTTTATATATAATTACAGCGTTGGTCCATTTCACGTATTTCATCCATAAAATCATCAATCAACTTTGAAACAGTAATTTTAACTCAAATGACATCTTAATTGATGGGTAAATTTGTCAAAACAAGTAATCAAAAAAATGTTTGTTTTCTTCAAATCCTTCATTCTTTTCACAGCCATCACATTCTCATCATCGATAACCATCTGATCAGATAACAATCTGATCCGATTTGTTATAATAATTGAATCGATA